CTGTTATAAGTTTTCTGAGCTCAAATCCTGTTTTACTCTTCTTACTAGACGTTTGCCAAGTCACTTAACTATCTCCAACCTTAGCTTTCTTCTCTGTAAAATGGGGAGTTTGGCCTAATGGGGTTCCTTCCAAGTTTCACAAGCCCTTTTAGTCTCTATTCTGTGAGTGGAAAGTGCTTCTAATTAATATATCAATTCTTCCTTTGGAAAGTAAGGTTATTTAAATTACATGGTGCTTTTGTGATTCAAAAGACGTAATGTACTTCTAAAGATATTTAGTTATTCCCAATGTCAAATTAACACAGGAGAATTTATTTATTTATTTATTTATTTTAAAGATTTTATTTATTTATTTGTCAGAGAGAGAGAGAGGGAGAGAGAGCAAGCACAGGCAGACAGAATGGCAGGCAGAGGCAGAGGGAGAAGCAGGCTCCCTGATGAGCAAGGAGCCCGATGTGGGACTCGATCCCAGGACGCTGGGATCATGACCTGAGCCGAAGGCAGCTGCTTAACCAACTGAGCCACCCAGGCGTCCCAACACAGGAGAATTTAGATAGCTGTGTCAGGGTTTGACTACACCTTGACCTGAGATGCAGGATGGCTTAGATATTTACACCCAAGAGCCATGATTTGGGGGGCAGGCTATCTGGGCAGAAGGGGCAGCCATGCCTGGACCACTTGATCTCCCCTCTTCTTTTGTAGCTCATTGAACCAGTTCATGGGGACACCTGGCCCTAAAGTGGCCCATTCAAGGGATGGCCCATGGGTGCTTCAAAATGAGGAGCTCACCATCAGGTGATCTGGGTGTTCTGAACTCAGAAATACTAAGACAGGGAGTTAGCAGCAGTTAGTATGGAACCTGAAAGAACGTACTGAGAGATGCATGAAGGGAGCGTCTAGGCTGTCGCCATGAGGCGACAGAAGCCAGAGAGACAGAGGTACCAGCAGAGGTACGAGAGAGGCTGGAATGGCCCATGAAAGAGAAGGAGTGGCCTTAAGTCCAAAGAGCTCTCTGGGTCAAAAACCCAAATTATGAATGTCCTTTCCTTTGAAAGACTTACTGTTAAAACCGCCACACTAAATTAATCAGTGCCCAAAACTGCCTCAGAGGATCACTGTAAGCTCCATGAGGTCATCCAAGTTATTTACCGTCCTCTCCCTAGCACCTCCTGGAGCAACAAGCATGAAACTGTATTAGTAAGTATTTCTTGGATTAACAAATGTACTCTTGGGTCAATCAATGAACACTTATGGAATAATTTTGAGATTTTAGTTTTGTCTTTTACATTCAGCATAAGTATATCTAAAACCATATTGTATGTAACTAAGAAGACTATTCTTAAAGATTGCAAAAAAAAAATTACAAACGGTATTGATAAAATTAACTGCTTTTTTAGGCTGGCTTTTAACTTTATTGTTTACCTAGATGAAAATGTTATCCAAATAGGGCTTTAATGAAGTATAGATTTTCTAAAAATAGGTGCTATCCCTAGAATTGATTTGTAGGTTGAAGGAATCTGCTTTTTTCTTATTATATTATTACATATTTATTATTTGGAAGATGGACAAGCCCTGACCCTTGTATATACACATGGCTCCTCCTTATATTTCAGAGGGATTCTGGTGATGGAGTGGGCTAGCCATCCACAGTCTTTCTTCCCTTGTCTCTTATGTGACCAGAAATGCTGTTTCTGAAAGAGAAGTAAACGGGGTTAGGACAAGCTGCCTGTGGCCAAGGAAACAAACAAAGCAAGGTTAATTCTTTGGAATACGAGTCCACAGTCCCAGTCAATGGAATTGATCCTGAGGAATCAGGCTCTGTCTGGACCCATCATCATTCATTCATTTGACCTGGAATGTACATAGTTTATACGGCAGGCCTTAAAACATCAAGAGCAGGGGCACCTGGGTACACCTGCAGGGGGCACCTGCTCAGTTAAGTGCCTGACTCTTGGATTTTGGCTCAGGTCATGATCTCAAGGTCAAGAGACAGAATAGGCATGCATGCACTTTCTCTCTCTTTCTCAAAGAAACCCCCCCCCAAAAAAAAACCAAAAAAACAAAAACAAGCAAACAAACAAACAAACAAAACTTCATTCCCAACTTCCTTTATGGAAAATGATTAGGTATATTTGAGATGAGCTAAGATGATCTATAGAAAATAAAGTTAGGTGTAAAATGTATGGTTAAAATCCAAACAAATATAGTTGGAACAAACATTTTATAATTGTCAAACATACTTACAATATCATTTAAGATTTTACTCTCATTGTGCAAGAGGATTTAGAATCAAATGCATGTGAGCAAAATAGGGACAGAGAGTGCAAAGATGATCATGAATGAAGGTAGCTTGTATTCTGAAGGTGTTTGAACTCCATAGACTCTTATTTTTATGTCGTATGCAGGTATTTTCAGATAGTTTCACGTAACAGTATCTATAATTACTGTGTACCTATTATATAATAGTAGCTCTGCATATTACCTTCCTTTGCAATAAACATGGGACTCATTCTCTATCACTTGGTGTTATTTTCCCATTTGGGATTTGAATACCTTGTCCATGGTTACACAGCTAACAAAGAAGCCGGTTACAGTTAAAAATCTAAATATTGTTGGCTCTCATTATTTTATTCTTTTTACTCAGTAGAGGCAGAGAAACTATAAAGATAATTCATTGTGGGCTCTTTTTCCTCTTGTAAAAACTAATCTGAATGTGATCTAGAAGGAAAGAAAGAAATGCAGGATCAATATATGAATGTATTTCAAGTGAAAAGCAAAATAGTAACCTTAAATTACATCATGGATGCTTACAAGGAAAGCTTGAGTGTTTTAAGAGAACGATTTTTAACATAAAAGGGATTTACATCTTTGCTAGACTCAAACCTGTGGTTACCTTCAGTGATTCCAATTCACAGTCATCTTCTATGGAAATTTAAGAGATTAAACCCATTGGGAATACCAATAAATACGAATCAGCACTATGGTAATTATTTACGTTAACATTGATTGACAAACTCAAAGAGCTACCATCTGATCAAGCCCTGAAAATTCATCCTTACAAGTTGACACCTTAGATTGAAAGGATGATCATCGATCGAATGAGTCTTCTAAATGCACAAATATAAAAATGGCAAATCAAAACCTGAATGGAAAATAGCTATCACTCTTTTGTTTGGAACAAAAAACAGACCAAGAGCGCGTGAGAAGTGGTTGGGGGCATCCGGTGGGCCTGACCTGCCTGGAAGTGATCCGGCGTCAGTTACCAGAGGAGACCGCAGTGGCCTGGTGGGGGCGTTGCCTAGACAAAGGAGGCTTGCACTTGTTCCATGGAACTCCAGAAGTTGAGACTAGAATCAGTGGGTGGAATGTACAAGGAGGCCGACTTGTGATTAAAATGGAATGGGCTGCTTTAGGAGGTAATCATGGTCCCCTTACATCTGTAGCTCCCACATAGAAGCGAAATAGCCACCATTCAGAATGTTCTGGGAAGGGACGCAGGCACACAGGTGGCAGGACAGCCCTGGACTCTTAGCCACAGCATTCATTTATACTCCCCGATGCTCACGAATCTTTAAATCCTTTATATTCTTGGTATATTTTGAACCTGAGCAATTCGTATGATTTACACGATCCCTCCCCTTCCCCCTGAGTTATTTCCTTCTGTGCTGTTTTGGATTATATAATGGTGATACTTTATACTAGGTTGCCTTTAGATAGAATGTGCTTCCTTCGGTTCTGTGAATTTTATTGTTGTCGGTTCAGATTCTTATTGTTGTTGTGTTCTTTGGAAACACTCTTCTAAAACATTTGGCAGCAAAAAGAGGGAAGAGTCTGCTTTGTGGGGTTTTTGTTTTTGGATTGGAAAAAAAATAAACTTTTTGATTCGTAGCAGTAGAAATTCATGGATAAATATTTTTAGGGTCAGGCCCACTGTCCTGCATCCATGTTCACCCAACAATAGGCTCGGAGAATAACTCCTCAGAAATGCAAACGAAAATGGCAGCTAGTCCTGTTCCTCTTGGTTTGCAAATGCTTAATGGTGTTGCTTTAAGGCATTAAGCTATAAAGTCCGCGATAGGCTGTCTCACTGTCACTAGTGCCACATCTCTGGACCCCAGAGTGGGTAGTAGTAGTTAATAAAAAGCTCAGCAGTAATTCTTCCAGACCAAGTCATCATGCTGTATTCCGTAATTTTATTCATGGAAACCTAAAGAGTGTTTAGAGGATGGTGTCTTTCTAGGATCAGAATAGTGGGAGGAAAAAAAAAAATGGAAAAATGTCCAAACATCTTTGCATGGCAATGATGGCATTACTGGTGTGTTTAATAAAACCTTTATTGGTACATTTTCCGGTGTGGTGGCATTGGCAGAAACGGTCCCCCTTTGGATTTGGAACTCAGCAGCTGATGAAATGCAGTAAACATTAATTTGGAATGGGCTGCCAGTTCGGGAAAGCCAGGTGACATTTTATTATATTTGTACCGAGCAGGGGCTGTGTCCCATACTGCTGTAGCTTCCGCTGTCAGAGGCTTAGCTGGCATTATGGAAAAAAAAAAATGGCAGGCCTGAGAATCTTATCCCCTGAAATGAAAGTCGAATGCCAAATTGAAATTCCTGTAGGATTTCCGATAGCAATGGGGGAATTGAGAAGCCCACAATTAAGCATATGGGCATTAAGATAATTGTCAGATCTGTTGGCGGACATGATAGAAGACAGATGGGTACGAATCAGTGCGCTCCACTGCAGCACCCTGGGAGACAATTTGACGTTTTACCTGCCTGAGCTACTCTGCCATATTTGTCACTGGATGTACAGCGCGGCATCTTACGGAGTGTGAAGGGTTTTGCCGGGCACTGTAGGTGCAAGTGTGGTCCTTCAGCGCCCTCTAGTGAAAGGCATTTGGGAGTCTCGTTTTTTCCGAGGCCCGTCTTCCTTCCGCAGGTCCTTGCTGCCCTCCCTCTGGTTCCCGCTAAACTCTACGGTTCCTCTCACCCTTACAGGTTGGGGCCCATCGTGAAGACGGTGTGGCCCTGAGAGGCAGCCATTCTCTTGTGCCAAACCAGGTTCCAGTTCCGCAGCTTCCTGTGCAGTCTGCAACGTCCCCTGATCTGAACCCACCCCAGGACCCTTACAGAGGTAGGTCCGCCTCCGAAGGCACCCTGCCCTCGCTTAGACAATAGCAACTCCAGTGTTGATCCCAGGCGTCCTTGGCATTCGTCCCTCAGGAAGCGCTGGCAAAAAACCAAGAATCAAATTTGGTACAAAAATGGTAAGCAAATGGGAAAGTAGTTAGAACGTAGCCGGCTAATTGTGTTTCTTCAGGAACTGTTTTGCTCAAACATCCTCTGAAATCCTGGTCCTCTCTCAGCAGGGAATGAGACAACAGCCTGATGAGAGGAAATTTTATTTTCGCTATTTCCACATTTTCCTCATTCAGGTCCTCTAATGTGGTTAGTTGTAGCCTGAACATGATATTTCCAAATGAATAGGAAGGAAGGAAATTGTTTTTGTCATTTAAGATCGAAGGAAATGTAGGTACGTTTCAAAACTGGAACTTGGTGGAACGATTTTCACTCTTTTCATCTCGCCCCGCAACGATTGCCTCAAACCACGGATGCCAGGCAGCTTTTCACGACCCCGGGGAGTGACGTCGCAGGGGCCAGACCTCGGTCCCCTGCTCCCTGGGCTACCACCTGGCCCGGGGACTTGCAGACCCTAAAATAATATTCTCTTATTACCCTCCCTCCATGTTTGGAATAAAGATGGTAACACTGCCACGGGGATAGGCAGAAGCTTTTTTTCACCTGCTAAACATTGTACAAATCTGAGTATTAATTATATATGTGGAGAAGAGACGATCACCGCTTCTTAAACTTAGCCTACATAGACATGACCTGAGGATCTTGTTAAAATGCAGATTTCGATTCAGGAGGTCTGGAATTCTGCATCTCTGAAGAGCTCTGGTGATAAGGTTTCTTCTGGACCACAGACCCAATTTTGAGTGCCTACGAATACAGGAGAATACCCAATAGACATGCTTCTACCTTAGAAATAAGTGGATACACGACGGTCACGTTTTAAAATCTACTGTGATCTTAAAAGTTGAAATGTACTGTGATCTTGAAAGTTGAAATGCATTGTGATCGTGAAAGTTGAGCAGTGGTTAAAGCTAGAAATTTCTTCAGTGAGCAGCTAACTGCTTTCCATATGTACCATTTTTAAATGCTGATTACTCCTCGAGGATAAGGGAAGCCTAATTTCAGAATATCATTAGGGTATCTATTGAAGCCTTGACTGTACTCCCTGGGAATTATATTTTAAGGACATTTTTCTATTAAATCATTGCATATGGAAGAAACTCAATATAATAGCTGATATTTACTTGGGTTCTTAATCAGAACATTGAGGTGTGTGATTTTCATGATTATGATTTTCATTGCAATTAAGTTGATGTTTTGTAGACAGTGAAATTACCATCTACTCCAAAAGATTGCAAAATAGAATTTAACCTCGGAGCCAATGCAGAGAGAACTTGCTTCCACAGGTGCATTTTTGAAACTTCACCAGATAGCATGGAAAAAAAAAAAAACAAAAACAAAACAAAACAAAACAAAAAAACAACCATGGTGGGAGGATCAGCATTCAGCAGCTGAAGGGTATAGGCACAGCTCCATGACCCACAGAGCGTGTGCTGGTGCCTCGGGTCTTCCGTGGAAGCATCACCTGGTCTCTCTCTCTCTCTGCCTTTTCCTGCAGGCATGCCACCAGGATTGCAGGGTCAGAGTGTCTCCTCTGGCAGCTCTGAGATCAAATCCGACGATGAGGGCGATGAGAACCTTCAGGACACGAAGTCTTCCGAGGACAAGAAGTTAGATGACGACAAGAAGGATATCAAATCGATTACTAGGTCAAGATCTAGGTAACAGTATATGATACTGTCGCTTCATTTAATTCCTTTATTGGACTTTGATGAAGTGAACAGAACAGGAAGAAACTACTCAGTTTTTTCCTGGCAGGTAAATCTACAGCCAAAAAGAAATTTCAAGGCTTGCTCTAGAGGTGCTAAAGTATCATTTAAGATACCGGCCCTCTAGTGAAGCCTAAAATGTCTTTGCACTTACGAATTTGGACCTCGTGCTCATTGCACGCAGTGCAGACAATTTGTAACTGATTCAAGTGCAAACGGTTGATTTTTTTAAAAAAAACTATGCTTATTCTGCGAATTTGGTCAGAAATGATCTTTCCAAAATATTTCTAAAAAGAGATCTTAGCCATGTTGAAAATGCAACTGAGGTATATGCAGCTATGACTTTTCTCTTCTCTCGAACGTGAGAAAACACTGGTTTCCCAGCTCTATCTTAAGCATGTTGGTATTTAATGATGATGATGATGCTGATGCTACCTAAGTTGCTCACTTTTTTTCTCCCAGATACTCCTTTCTACAGAAAATACAACTGCAGGAAAATAGCTTCTGGTTGGTTTTCTTAAATAATCTGGTATCTTTCAGTTAGAATCTGTTTCCTGGAATGTGAATCCTAATCTGATGATCAGATGGTTTTGGAACACCGTGACACCCAGGTTCTTTGCCTCAGTTCCCTTGGGTTGTTTTTATTTGTAAGTTAAATCAATCGTGCTGTGACTGCACATCCCCTTTTAAAAGCTGTTGATCTCAGGGTTAGATCTAATGTCCTTTAGGAATTAAGAACATGCCACTTGGGATGGATTTTCTTATCCAAAAGTCCTAAAAGCTCCCTACCCCTCCCCTCCCACCATCCCCGCAGAGTTTCCTGTCTCATGGCTACACTGGTGGGGGCTTTCACAGCCCTCCCATCACCTCTGTCAGCCCATTCAGTTCTTAGTAATTTAACTAGTGGCCTTGACTTATGCATATAGATTCTATATGACTTACGCAATTAGATTTCAGTACAACACTTTAACTTGCTGTTAAGAACCCGCTTCTTTTAAAAGGTTACACTTGTGGCGTTTGCTTATGTCTCTAAGCCTGTGATGTAAGGCAACGCTAGGCAGTTTTCTTTGCATAACCAATCTATTTCATACTTATGAGTGAATAACCAACTCTAATTAGTTATTAGCCTGAATACCTTTGGAAAACAAGTTCCCACTTTCCAAGGCAATGTTGTGAAAGCTGTGGCAACCTGTTCAGTGTTTAAAAATGTTGCCCAGATTTTAGCTTCAGGATGGGCCCCGCAGAGGTTTGGCTCTGTTCTCATTTCATGTCTTACATCCTATTTGTGTAGCGGGATGTGGATGCGAATTCACGGTAGCCGTGGCTGCCTCCCCGTCAGCAGAAGTCATGGGTGAGGAGGAGGAGGAGGGTTCGGCAGAAGAAGTGAGAAGGACCAGATGGCATAGGAAGAACCTTTTCCCACTGGTTCGGGGCAGTTGTGTGTCCACCAGCACTCCTCTGTGGTGGATGGTCCCATCTGGAAGGGAGTTTAACCTACAGGGAAACGAGCCAAGTCTTAAAGCATCTTCCTTTGGTGTCTTCCTCTTCCCCATCCTTACAAGTGTTCTTGGCTTACGTACATCATGTGTATTGGCAACATGTGCTTGCAACCCAAGGATACCACTCCCATTTTTCACTGACTAGAGCTTCTCGGCTGTAATTGGTCCTTAGTGCAATTTGGAAGCTACCCAGAGATTCTCCAAAGTGGAAGATTCAGATCCATACATGTTAAGCCAACATTCATTAAGTGTGCATTGAATTGACTAGATAACTTACCCCATGTCTTCCTGATCTGAAATGTCGTGATTAACATCTCTATTCTGGACACATTTCAGATTCATGGAATTTTCAAGGAGAGCTTAACCTCCGTGGTCCTTTAGATCAGTTCTTGAACTTCTAGATTAACATCATTACAGATGGTCCTCTCCATATCGTTTGATATAATGAGGAAGCTGTTACTTTTCAGTGAAGTTTCCTTTATTTTGTATATCTCTTATGACATCTCTTATACCCAAAAAGCTTCTTGCTCATGTTAACTCAGACTATACCACTCAGAGTTCTCTGTTTTGTTCTCCTTTCTGAGACAACACGTCTCCCATGCCTCTCTTTTTTTTTTTTAATATAATCACCCATGAAATATTTGAAGCCCTGATATCATGAAACCTTCATACAACATGCTTTCCAGATGGCCCGTCATCCTGTTTGCCCTCCATTCAAAAGTTCCTAATCTGGGGCGCCTAGGTGGCTCAGTGGGTTAAAGCCTCTGCCTTCAGCTCAGGTCATGATCTCAGAGTCCTGGGATCGAGCCCCATATCGGGCTCTCTGCTCAGCAGGGAGCCTGCTTCCTCCTCTCTCTCTGCCTGCCTCTCTGCCTACTTGTGATCTCTGTCTGTCAAATAAATAAATAAAATCTTAAAAAAAAAAAAAAGTTCCTAATCTGGGAACATGACATCCAGAAACAGACAGAAGTAATCTTGCCTTTCCAGATTCTACTGGCTCCAACCATGCCTTTGCTATGAATCATGTAATATTTTGGTTCTCATGATCAGAGATTAGCTTTTGGACTTCGTTTTTGACTCACAATGAGATCATGGTCATTTATAACTAGTAGGTGCTTGGTATTTTGTTTTGTTTGCTCTGTGTAGTGGACGTTAACTCAGGTTTTCCCAGCTCGTTTTGAGGATGACAAACATCCGTGATATGAAAAGGCAAGGAGATCATGATGTTTTTAACCGTTTTTTTTTTTTTTAACTGCATGGAGAAAATGACTCAGATACGTTAAGTGGATTGGCCATACCTTCAAAGCTCGTTAATGGTGAACCATGGACAAAAGGCTAAGTTGGCGGTGACCTGCTTTGCACAGTATAGCCTCATTGATCAGAGCTGTGTTTGCCCTTTGGCCCTGCATCAGCGGGGGCGCACCCGGGGCCCTAACTTTAACCTCTCTTGTTCTGTTTGGGTTGAATGTCTGGGAGAAACTGAATGTCTTGCGTGTGGATTGTCAGCACCGTTTTAGCAGTCCCAAGTTCAGGTGGATGTAAAATCCTGCTACGGACGACAGCCGGAAATGGACACATTCCCTGGAAACTCTGGAAGAAAACAACACTAATGTAGACGCCTTCTTTTCCCCCACACCATTAGAAAATGTCGCATCCCTTCTGTCCCACAGCAATAATGACGACGAGGACCTGACCCCCGAGCAGAAGGCTGAGCGCGAGAAGGAGCGGAGGATGGCGAACAACGCCCGCGAGCGCCTGCGTGTCCGCGACATCAACGAGGCTTTCAAGGAGCTCGGCCGTATGGTGCAGCTCCACCTCAAGAGCGACAAGCCCCAGACCAAGCTCCTGATCCTGCACCAAGCCGTGGCCGTCATCCTCAGCCTGGAGCAGCAAGTCCGAGGTCAGTACCAGCCCGCCGCCTCCCGGTGGAAGCGGCCGCAGTGGGTGGAGCTGGGCTTGCTGGCCTTGAGCATCCTTCAGAGCAGCTGGGTCAAGGGCAGATCACGTCTGAATTGGGGAGGCGGCTCCCCTTGCTTCCGTAGTTAAGTCACAGGATTCTCTTTCAAGTAAGACTGTGCATTCTCAGTCGTCGGACTAGTGCTGGTGACTGACCCCTCGGATCACCGCGTGCCCTTCCTAGCTCTTCCTTTCGGTGGGTCCTGGTGAGACTCGGAGAAAGGGTCAGCAGGTGCGCAGAAGAGTGCCGTCCTGCCCTGTACCAGATGCCGTGGCGCTAACCAAATGCTCTGCTTCCATCTTCCACAGAAAGGAATCTGAACCCGAAAGCCGCGTGTCTGAAAAGAAGGGAGGAGGAGAAGGTGTCCTCGGAGCCTCCCCCGCTCTCCTTGGCGGGCCCACACCCTGGAATGGGAGATGCGTCGAACCACATGGGACAGATGTAAAAGGGCAAGTGTGTTCTCAGCCATTTCGGGAACCCTTTCCCGGGTCAGTCCCTCTTCGCCAAGGTGTCACTCAGGAAAGTCCGATTTTCCCCAAATGAACAGACTTTCTTTTCTTATCCTTGGGGGGGAAAAAAAAAGTTTTAAAAATAAAACATTTACTTCTGTGTTAAGCGTATGAATTAATTCTCCTCTCTTTTTCCCTTCTCAGGTCCAAGCTGCCACATTGCTTCATTAATACAAGAGACCACTTCCTTAACAGCTGTATTATCTTAAACCCACATAAACACTTCTCCTTAACCCCTTTTTTTGTAATATAAGACAAGTCTGAGTAGTTATGAATCGCAGACGCAAGAGGTTTCAGCATTCCCAATTATCAAAAAACCGAAAAACACACAAAAAAAAAAAAAAGAAAGAAAAAAGTGCAACTTGAGGGGCGACCCTCTAACATATCATTCAGAATGTGCAAAGCGGCGTGTGCAGGCTGAGACGCAGCCCAGAGACTGAATGGCAATCTTTCCACACTGTGGAGCAATGCATTTGTGCCTAAACTTCTTTTGGAAAAAAAAAAAATATAATTAATTTGTAAGTCTGAAAAAAAATATTTAATTTAAAAAATTGTAAACTTGCAATAATGAAAAAGTGTACTTCTGAAGAAAACTACATGAACGTTTTTGTTGGTATTCAAGTCAGCTAGTGTTTATAATTACTGGATATTGAATAAGGGAAGCTCGGCTGCCCTAGTAACAAAACCAGCAAACGTCCTGATGACAACGAAGTGATGACATTAGCCATTCCTTAGGGTAGGAGGAACAGATGGATCTTATAGACCTATGACAAATATATATATAAATATATATATAAATATATATTAAAAATTTAGTGACTATGGTAAGCTTTTGTTCATTTGTTTCAGACTTTTTTCTCCTGTAAAAAAATAGTACTGATTAACTTTTTTAAAAGAAAGATTTTACTGTAAATACGGATTTTTTTTTCTTTTTTTTGTTTTTTTTTTTTTTTTTTTTTTTTTTTTTTTTTTTTTTTTGGGGGGGGGGCGGGGGGTCTTATTTCTGTCCCTTTCCCTGGTTTGTTATCGTAACCTGTAGTGCCAACTCTGCTTCCGGAGGGGTAGTACAGGATCAAATGCTGACCCTGATGTTGCTTTTCATTCATAAATAAGTAGAAAGTTGTTTCTCCAGTCTTTTGGGAACACAGGACTTAAAAGTCACATCATGTGTAGATATTACAAGCAGCATTACCAAGACATGGCAAAAAGAGTTTGTCTGAACGTAATGTTGCGTTTGTGACCCTATTCTGGGATTTTCAGAGGTACAAGGTTAGAATGCTACAATGTTACCACTGTGCCTTCCAATGTTTATATCATCGGAAACATAACATAATCAAAGTGGCTGTGATTTAACAAAATGATTCAAGTGTTACCTACATGTGTAGCCGAAGTAGTGTGCAGTGAGGCGTTTCTGAATACATGGTCAGATTTTTGGAAAAAAACAAAAACAAAAAAAACCAAGTTCAAAAACCATCAAATGAGAAAATTGCAAGTAGTGTGACAGAGCTGATTGATTTTGTTGCTTTCTTGATTTTTTGTTTTCAAAATGGGTTTACTAAGATGTAGAT